CATTCATGCATCGTATATCCAACAGAATACCTTATACTTCGTTTGCAGTACCCAACAGAGCAGCAGTAAGGGACACACCGCGGAATTTCCGTAAATCTGCTGTACCCGCGTTCGTAATTTCCCGGGTAAAACCCGCAAATATACGGCATCAATCGCGAGTCCCCCTTACTGCTGCTCCATTGGTAATAATTACACCAAAGCCTTCCTGTAATAAAATATACAAATACGAAATGAAAAAGAATTCAATTACACAATAACTGATCTTACCTGAATATTTTGAAAAAAAGAGGTACGATACAGGAATTCTAAAGAACTTTGAAACCTGCCGACTGCCTATCCCTGGGACAAAGCAGTGAGACCCGGAATTTACAGCGTGAATGCTCGGGTAGACGCCTACGGTATTTCAATAGAGCGAATTCACGTGACGTCACAGCAGTCATGTTGGTTTACCAAAACAATACATTTGCTATACAAAAAACTGTGCAGAAAGTTTCTGTTGTTGGGTATACCAAAATGGCTGCCTTTTCAGGTAATGGCAGCCATGACTGGAGTCACTACAACAGAATCTTTTTACCCTGGGAAACTATATTCATTCTAATGTAAATCAGATCAGAACACATTTAATTGTTCCTGGGCTGGGACCGGATGGAATCGAATGAAATGCCAAAGAAAGAGATCGATGAATTGAACAAAGATGATATGAGATAAGATGAGAAGAGATGGGATGAAATGAGATGGGATGAGATGAGATAATAATAACTTTAATAACTTTATTTAACACAGAATTCAGAAAGTTGAAGAAACTTATTTACAACGAAACCTATTTAGAACGTCATGGCTCTTTTACTGGAAAGAAAAACGAAAATAGAAAAGACTACGTTACCTCGAGTGCTTTCTCTATATATGGCACCATCGTCCCGCTTTCATGATTTTCATTGATGATTACACTATATAAAAAATGGAAAAAAGTAAAGTAAAAGCCTAAGACTTGTCAGGAGCATGTCAGACTTTATATTGTATTTCAAGTGCCTTTTAACACTGGTACAGAAAATAAGCATGCCATATGAATCGACTTTTATGTACTATTTTACCTCTTGAATGTATTAAAAACTCCAGTTTAAGAATGGGGAGGGTTCAAGAACACAAGTGAACAAAATGCTATCTTTATGTTAATTTAATGATGGCAAGTTAAATATGTATCAGATTAGGATGATTTATTTTTAAAAAATGAACCACTTTTATCAGTGGCGATCTAGAGACGGTTCAGCTAATTCACAAACCTTCTTGACCACTGGCCAGCACGTACTGCACCACCACCATGCATAAGAATAATCAGCTTTTTAAAAGAAAGAGCATATTCGCTCATGAAGAAAAACCCTTGGGGGTCCTTTTTACCAGCATCGACCTGGAAGAGGAAAGATAATAAAAACGTACGTATGTACGTTGAAAAAAGAAAACGTTCTCTTAAACCATCTCAGGTATAGTAGCACAAAGAAAATAGGCCGTTCCAAAACCAGAAGTGTATTATTAGTTTATTAGTCGGATGTTTTAACAGAACCTTTGCCTGAACTGAATTAATATAGATGCTTAGTCCCCTTCTTACCGGAATTGCTATTTTTAAAAGCTTCAAATTCCCAGGAAGGAACACCTCCTGCACAGCCTGAAAAATAAATCCTTAAATCATTTATCCATAAATTATTAAGTTAAAATTACATATCTTATAGTGCACTCAACAAAAT